GTAATTTTACCTATAGCACTCTCTAACCCTAACCCTGATCCTAACCCTAACCCTAATATTTACGGTAATAAATTTCAAATTTACTCCGTTTCCTTTTTTGGTTTGTATTACTGGCACAAATAAGTAAAGCCCGTACGTACCATATACGTTTGTCCACCCGTAATGAATAGCCGAACTGTACGATTGATCAGATCTCATCTAGATAAGGAATTTTGATTGCCCAATCAAGCCATAGAATCAATACGGATCAGCCCAGAAAAACGGATAATTTCGGAGTATAAGGATTATCAACCAATCAAAGTCAGCAAATTGTCAGATGTAGCTCTATCTATCCATTCGAAATGATCTGATAATTTATCACGATGAGATCTAATGTTAATCGATGTTAATCGGTTATATATAAATAGCATAGATAATACCAACCTTTTCATTAATCAACTCAAAATTCTACTTTTTGAACTTAATTATTATACAAAATGTCATCAGCTAAACTGTGGGGTGGTCGTTTTACAGGTGCCACCGATCCTCTAATGGACGCTTTTAATGCTTCTATACATTTTGATAAGCGTTTATTTGAAGCTGATATCCTTGGATCACAAGCTTATGCTAAAGCTTTAGCCAAACGTGGTATAATTACTTCGAATGAATGTGAATTAATCGTCGATGGCCTTAAAAAAGTTCTTGAAGAATGGCGAACAAACACTTTCAAAATACAACCTGCCGATGAAGATATTCACACCGCAAATGAAAGGCGTTTGGGTGAATTTGTTGGAAGCGTTGCTGGAAAACTGCACACAGGACGCAGTAGAAATGATCAAGTTGCAACTGATTTAAGAATCTGGGCTAGAGAAGAAGCAAAAAAATTATTAGTCTATGTTAAACAACTGATCTATGCTGCTGTTGAAAGAGCTGAAAAAGAAATTGATGTATTGATGCCAGGCTATACTCATTTGCAGGTAAATCAAATATTGTAATTTAATCACTTTCCTAATATATGTCGTGTAACGTTACGATTTCCTAATTCATTAGAGAGCTCAACCTATTCGATGGAGCCATTGGCTTTTGAGTTATGCTTGGAGCTGGCAAGCCGATGCTCAACGACTTGAACAGATAATCGATCGCATCAATGTTCTTCCTTTGGGTAGTGGTGCATTAGCCGGTAATCCTTTCAATATTGATCGAGAGTTTCTGGCTAAAGAACTCGGTTTCAAAAGTGTTATTCAAAATAGCTTATATGGTGTTAGTGATCGGGATTTCGTGGCTGAATTACTTTTCTGGGCCTCAATGACAATGATTCACATTAGTAGATTTTCTGAGGACTTAATTATTTACAGCTCTGGAGAATTTGGCTTCGTTTCTCTCGCAGATGCTTACAGGTATTTTCTCTTATATTAGTAATTCATGTGACAAAATATGTTTACCACATATTATATTACTACATATTATAGCACTGGAAGCAGCCTTATGCCGCAAAAGAAAAATCCGGATAGTTGCGAGCTATTGCGTGGTAAATCTGGACGTGTCTTTGGACAGGTAACAATCGAACCAGAAAATTAATTCAACTTTTAATGGAAATATAAATTAATAATTATATGTTTTTTTCTTATTTAAAGTTGTCTGGCTTCCTTATGACATACAAAGGTATTCCAAGTACCTATAATAAAGATCTTCAAGAAGATAAAGAGCCACTTTTTGATGCAGTTGAAACATTAGCTGGATCTTTGCAAATCACTACTGGAGTTTTATCAACACTTACTGTACGTAATTGTCATACGACAGGGTGAAACCCTCGCTGAATTCTGATTAAATCCGTTATGCAGATCACATGAGGGTGAAATCCGAAAAACACTATGCTAACGCAGATTTCATCCTAACCTGATGATCAAAGCGTGTTTTACTAGAATTCAGCGTGGGTTTCACCCTGACCTATTGTCAATGATTGATAAATTTTAACAATATATTTTGATTTAGATTCACCCAGAAAATATGAAGAAAAACTTAAGTATTGACATGTTGGCTACCGATGTTGCAGACTACCTTGTACGCAAAGGGGTATGTAGGGTTTACCTATCGGTGGATTTACATCATCTGATAAATAGTCACTCATAATTCTTGGCAGATCATTTGGTCAGATCACAATTTTAAATCTGGTCAAATGATCTGCAACTTTGACCAGAATTATGGATGATGTGTGATTCTATTGATAGGTGATGCAGATCCGCTGATATAATTTGACTTCATTGAATCTTTTTGCCTCGCCTACCTATTAATTTATCTTGTCCCCATTAGGTTCCCTTCCGTGAAACTCATCATATAGCAGGTGCTGCTGTTAAAACGGCCGAAGATCGCAACATTACAATGGCTAACCTTGAACTATCCGATTTCAAACAACTCCATTCCTCTTTCGAACAAGATGTCACTGAACTTTGGGATTATGAAAAATGTGTTGAAAATAGATCAAGTGTAGGCGGAACAAGTAGAGCAACAGTTTTAGAGCAAATACAAAATTTAAAAAGGTTGTTAAATGAAAATTAAATAGTGAACTATTATTAAATATTATTAACTAATTAATTTTATTTGCTAAACATTTGGAGTAATACATAAATAATAATAATAATAATAATAATAATAATATAATGTAAAAATAATAGTATCACTAATAGCTGGCGTACTGCAAGTATATGCATTCTCTTATACATAAAATGCTTTTAAAGTTAGATAAAAATTATGTACAGTACGTACGTACATATATATAATTAAAATAAGGAAACATGCTAACACTAATAAGTATTTTTATAATGAAATTTTCAAGCAAAGTAGTCTTCCACAAATATAATATCTATGTTTTCGGCTAGTGCATCTTCGTTGGAGCCTGAATCATCCTTATGAATACCTGATTCGTCAGGACATGACAAATACATTAGGTA